AATAGATACAACCTTCCTATAGGGCAATATGTAGCAAAGTTTAAAATGTGCTCCTGGCCCAATAATTCCTTTCAGGAACCTAAACTAAGGAAATCCTCTCAAAGATGTACACATATGGGGGAGCCTGGGTGGCACAGTCGGTTAAGCGTCCGACTTCAGCCAGGTCACGATCTCGCGGTCTGTGAGTTCCAGCCCCGCGTCGGGCTCTGGGCTGATGGCTCGGAGCCTGGAGCCTGTTTCCGATTCTGTGTCTCCCTCTCTCTCTGCCCCTCCCCCGTTCATGCTCTGTCTCTCTCTGTCCCAAAAATAAAATAAAAACGTTGAAAAAAAATTAAAAAAAAAAAAAGATGTACACATATGAATTCATCACAGGGTTGTTTGTAATGTTGATAATCGGAAACCTAAATGCCCATCAATGAATACATATTAGTACCTCATAAACGAAAATGCCATAAATCTATTTAAAAGGATGCAGAGATGATATTTATTAAAATAGGAAAAAAGTGGTCATGACATTTTACATGGAAACCCCATGTGAGCAGGTTGGGCAAAGCCTGGATGTCTTGTTCTTCAACCTTATTTCCAGCACCTAGAAAAGTGCCTTGTAAAAAAGGAGCTCCCAGAAAGCATTTTACTAAATAGATAAATTTTAAAAGCAGGCTACAGAACAATAATTATAATGTCAATCCCCACCCCGTTCCTTCTTTCTTTCTCTCTACACACACACACACACACACACACACACACACACAATTGGAAGGACAGCCACAAAAGGCCGACAAGGTGAAGTTCTGGTGTGTGTAACTTTTCTTTATTCCTCTCTGTACTGTCTAAATTTCTTACATAGTTAGCATTTTTAAAATTTTTATGATTGGAAAATAGTAACAACATTGCTTTTTAAGAACTCATATATATTTAAAATGAACTCCAGAAAGTGTTCAGTGACATCAGCTACAAACTACAAAAACTGAGATCAGCAGTATCCAAGTGGCATGTTTTTTTCACCTCCAAATAAATATCTTTGGAGTATGTTTTCTACAATGTACCACCTTTTTCCAGTACCAGGAAATGCCACCCTATCCTGATAAAATGCAAAATTTCCAAAAGGAAAAGCACATTTTTTTCTAGAGTAAAAAGCGGGGTGGGGGGGG